CAGCACTATGGGGCAGACCTATGGGGCAGATCTATGCGGTACCTATGGGAAAGTTATAGGGCAAATCTATGGGATACCTATGGGGCAGCACTATGGGGCAGACCTATGGGGCAGCACTATGGGATGCCTATGGGAAACTTATAGGGCCTATCTATGGGATACCTATGGGGCAGCACTATGGGGCAGCACTATGGGGCAGCACTATGGGGCTGACCTCTGGGGCAGCATTATGGGATGCCTATGGGAAAGTTATAGGGCAAATCTATGGGATACCTATGGGGCAGCATTATGGGGCAGACCTCTGGGGCAGCAGGGGTAATCTATGGGGCAGACCTTCTGCTTGGCGGCGTGCTCGGCCACCATGTCGCTGAAGTCCTCCTTCTCCACCTGCGCCTGCTGCTCCCTCACGCGCTCCTCGTACTTCTGCGTCATGGCGCTGGGGTCCAGCTCCAGCTCCTCCGGCGCCAGCGCCACCTCCACGCCCTGCGCCTCCGCCGCGCCGCCGCCCTTCCGCCCCATCACCTGCAGGGGGCGCTGCTGCCATGGCGCTGCATCCCATAATCACCCCAGAACGACCCCATAACGACCCCATAAGGACCCCATAAGGACCCCATAACCTCCGCGCCCTGCGCCTCCGCTGCACTTCCACCCCATCACCTGCAGGGGGCGCTGCTGCCATGGCTGTGCATCCATAATGACCCCATGCATCGCCCCAGAATGACCCCATAAGGACCCCATAACGACTCCCAACATCGCCCCATAATGACCCCATATATCGCCCCATAACTGCCCCATAATGACCCCATACCTGGCCCCATAGCGACCCCATGCATCGCCCCAGAACGACCCCATAAGGACCCCATAACCTCCGCCGCGCCGCCGCCCTTCCGCCCCATCACCTGCAGGGGGCGCTGCTGCCATGGCGCTGCATCCCATAATGACCCCATGCATCGCCCCATAAGGACCCCATAAGGACCCCATAAGGACCCCATATATTGCTCCATAATGACCCCAGAACGACCCATAATGACCCCATACATTGCCCTAGAACGACCCTATAAGGACCCATAAGGACCCCATAAGGACCCCATAACCTCCACGCCTTGCGCCTCCGCTGCACTTCCGCCCCATCACCTGCAGGGGGCGCTGCTGCTATGGCTGTGCATCCATAACGACCCCATGCATCGCCCCAGAATGACCCCATAACGACCCCATACATCGCCCCAGAACTGTCCCATAACGACCCCATCATGACCCCATGTATCACCCCAGAACTGCCCCATAACGACCCCATACGACCCCATAACGACCCCATAACCTCCGCGCCCTGCGCCTCCGCTGCCCTTCCGCCCCATCACCTGCAGGGGGCGCTGCGCT